CTTCAAAAAATTGAAGGGGATAAGGCGGTGGTTGTAATGATGATGTTGTTTATCTCATGTTGGATCCATACCATCCCATTTCATTGAGCTTTGGGAATTTGGTGTGCATTCAAGATTCAACATGTCCTCCATGATGGCACAGGTTATCTCCGGGATTCTGGTGGATTTTTTATACTAGCACATGATAACGACCTAGTAGGTTGGAGTTACTTTTATTTTTCCAAGCCCAATTGTTTCTGTGAAGGCTTTTTGCCATTATTCTTGCTCTCCGCTTACAAAAGATCAACAAAGGTCCAGCAGGAGGGGGTTTCTTTTTGGATGGCAGAGCACCGAATTCCATCTTTTTAGAGACTCCGCTCTAGTTTCTCTCCCTTAAGGCAGACTGACTCTGAGGTCTATTTTTTCTGGAGAATGATTGAACAATTTATTAATTTCGTCATTCGGCCACCCAGGTGTGTTCATCTCCAGTATTCTCATTCACTTGTCTAGTTTTTGTTTTTCTCTCACCAAATTATGCAGGGACAACAGTAGCTCTGTCCCCTACTCTCTTTCCTTGCTCAAATATTCATATGCAACAACGTTTCATAGATTTCAAAGTTATGCACACTTTATGTCCTTGCTATTATTCTTAGCACCAACCTGGCAAGATCTGATTACATGTAAAAAAAGTTATGCACACTAATCCTTCAATTACATAGGCCACTAGTTCAGGCTTTTTTTTTCCTCTTGAGTAATGGCCATTACTATAGTTCCCCCAACTCAGGGCTGTTGGGCATGTGTCCAAGACACTTATCAAACATTTGACTAACAAATTTGGAGCTGATAATTTTCTTAAATTTTAAGATATCAAATTAGAAGACCATAGCGAATTAATAAGTTTTTATTTTAGTTAAAAGTAAAAATAATTGCAAAGGTTTATTAAAGGAGGGAGCGTCGGAGAATGATGATACTTGTTGTGCTTCTGTGTTACAGCAACAAATATGATAATGAATTACATAATGGTTTTTGTTTATTGTACAGTCTAAATAATTTTGATTCCCAGATTCTACATGTACGTCTNGCGTCGGAGAATGATGATACTTGTTGTGCTTCTGTGTTACAGCAACAAATATGATAATGAATTACATAATGGTTTTTGTTTATTGTACAGTCTAAATAATTTTGATTCCCAGATTCTACATGTACGTCTAAAGCATAGTTATCAGAATTAACTAAATTCCTGATAACTCACGATTTGGGTACTTCAATTTCAAACGGGGTGGGTTCGCNATGGTTTTTGTTTATTGTACAGTCTAAATAATTTTGATTCCCAGATTCTACATGTACGTCTAAAGCATAGTTATCAGAATTAACTAAATTCCTGATAACTCACGATTTGGGTACTTTAATTTCAAACAGGGTGGGTTCGTNTTGTTTATTGTACAGTCTAAATAATTTTGATTCCCAGATTCTACATGTACGTCTAAAGCATAGTTATCAGAATTAACTAAATTCCTGATAACTCACGATTTGGGTACTTCAATTTCAAACGGGGTGGGTTCGCGATTTAAGTCACTAAACCGTATGATCCCAAATTGTAATAATCCTAAATTGATTCGTTTTGAAATATGTAGCTCAAATATAAAAAACATGTTAATTTACTACTGTATATAGATTTATAATAATCTATTGNTAAATTGATTCGTTTTGAAATATGTAGCTCAAATATAAAAAACATGTTAATTTACTATTGTATATAGATTTATAATTATATATTTTTTTAGATAATAGAAAATTGAGTACAGATGTAAGATAAATGGTAACTTACTTAGTATTTATCTAGGAAGTACAGATATGAACATGGGAATACGACAAAGTTAAAAAATATAAGATACGGGTACAATNTTTACTACTGTATATAGATTTATAATAATCTATTGTTTTAGATAATAGAAAATTGAGTACAGATGTAAGATAAATGGTAACTTACTTAGTATTTATCTAGGAAGTACAGATATGAACATGAGAATACGACAAAGTTTAAAAATATAGGATACGGGTACAACAAGGATACGACGATTAAAACAATATATTATATTTTTAAATGATAATAGAATTGTAATATATTAAAAATAAAGCATATATTATAACAATATTAATAATAAGACCTAGCAAATATTATTTTTTTGATTAAAATTGAAATAGATCAAAATACATATCCATCATTTTTATCAAACATCATTACATCTATTAATATTCATAATATATAAGTTACATAATAGAAAATATATTAAAAAAGTAGAAATCATACTTCTTTTAATAGTTAATAGTTANAATAAGACCTAGCAAATATTATTTTTTTGATTAAAATTGAAATAGATCAAAATACATGTCCGTCATTTTTATCAAACATCATTACATCTATTAATATTCATAATATATAAGTTACATAATAGAAAATATATTAAAAAAAGTAGAAATCATACTTCTTTTAATAGTTAATAGTTATTTTTTTTTTTATAAAACAATTCTTGGTCATATCCTAGACGTATCCGGGCCGTGTCCTGCCATGTCCAATTGAAAATATTTTCTGTGAAGTATCAGTACTTCCTAGGTGTCAATGGATGTTCTATGATATATAATGTTATATAGTAATAAAAACTATGTAGATGAGAGTTCCAAAATGAATTGTAACTCAAAAAACTATACCGGTTAAGTCTACTTCTATCGTACGACGTACTTAAAAAAGTGTTGTACCACGTACCTGNTGGATGTTCTATGATATATAATGTTATATAGTAATAAAAACTATGTAGATGAGAGTTCCAAAATGAATTGTAACTCAAAAAATTATACCGGTTAAGTCTACTTCTATCGTACGACGTACTTAAAAAAGTGTTGTACCACGTACCTGTACCACATACCAAAGTGATCCATGATCTAGATAACATTGATCTACGGCCAACCTTTTGGTCAGTCTTACAATTGGGTAGATCAAAGAAATGTCTATCTAATTCTTCTTAGCTCTTTTTATTCGTGCCTAATTTAAAGTTGCTATGGTCCCAACATCTTTTTTTGTGTTATCTTAATTTTTTAAGGACTCTNTGATCTAGATAACATTGATCTACGGCCAACCTTTTGGTCAGTCTTACAATTGGGTAGTCCAAAGAAATGTCAATCTAATTCTTCTTAGCTCTTTTTATTCGTGCCTAATTTAAAGTTGCTATGGTCCCAACATTTTTGTTTGTGTTATCTTAATTTTTTAAGGACTCCACTTGAAAAAAAAATGAACTCAAAGGAAATCATTTAACAAAATGTTTCCTATACTTGCAATTCACATCATATAATACTCAATAAACATAAGACAAAAGGCAAATATCAAAGTTTCCTTTTGTTTCCGAAATAGTTGAAATGTTTTCATTTCACTTAACCAACAACCAACATATATGGAAATCAATATTCAATACTTTCCTGGGAAATGAAGGTGTTTCCTTTGAAAAACTACGAAACAGTCAGATTGTGTTACTTTTTTTTTTTTCCTTGAAAGTTGTTGCAAAGTGCTTACTTTATATTTTTTAAAAGTTGCCTCAATTAGAATTGCAGAAAGTTAGGCAAAAAGAAAAGAGAGGAAAAGAACTCTATTGTGTGCCGCAATTGCATTTGGATCAGCTGCATCTGCAAGTCTGTAGCTATTGTGTGCTGGCATCTGGATCCGCTACATCTGTAGATGCTATATGTTATTTATAAAGCTATAGCATAATATCAAAGATGTCTAGTTTGAAATAAAGATTAGTGAAGGCAGATCGAGTCAATGGTTGGTAAGAATGTCACCCACGTGATCACTAGATTTAATGTATGTGGTGATAACCTCTTTTTGCATCAAGAGATCTTGAATAAAATGACAATCCACTTCAATGTGTTTAGTCCTCTCATAAAATATGGGATTACTGGCAATGAAAATCTCCGCCTAATTGTCATAGTGCATCTCCATAGGAGAGGACACAGTGATACCATATCATGAAAATGAGAATGAACCCACGACATCTCACACGGNAATGTATGTGGTGATAACCTCTTTTTGCATCAAGAGATCTTGAATAAAATGACAATCACTTCAATGTGTTTAGTCCTCTCATAAAATATGGGATTACTGGCAATGAAAATCTCCGCCTAGTTGTCATAGTGCATCTCCATAGGAGAGGACACAATGATACCATATCATGAAAATGAGAATGAACCCACGACATCTCACACGGAGTATGAGTCATAACCCAATATTCAGTCTCTACACTCGAACGTGCAACTAAATTCTATTTTTTGCTACGCCATGTAACAAGATTGTTACCAATAAATATACAGTAACTCAAAATGGATCGTCTATCAACACAATTACCTACCTAGCATCAGAAAAGTCAGTAATAGTCATCAATGATGAACGACAATATAATATTCCTTTACCTGGTGCTCCTTTAGGATATCGAAGAATACGATAGATAACCTCTCAATGAAGTTTAGGAGGAGCATACATGAACGGACTAGCCACACCAATGACATAGGTAATATCAGGACATGTAACAGTAAATCAACTTACGTATATCATCAAAAGTTTAACCACTCTCAGTATCTAACTTCACTGNGATGAACGACAATATAATATTCCTTTACCTGGTGCTCCTTTAGGATATCGAAGAATAGGATAGATAACCTCTCAAGGAAGTTTAGGAGGAGCATACATGAACGGACTAGCCACACCAATGACATAGGTAATATCAGGACATGTAACAGTAAATCAGCTTACGTATATCATCAAAAGTTTAACCACTCTCAGTATCTAACTTCACTGTAAAGTCCATGGGAGTATCAGCTGGACGTACACCAAGAGTCCCAATCTCAGACAATAAATCTAATACATATTTCTGTTAGCACAATCTAATACCTTTATTTGACCGAACAACCTCAATCCCAAAGAAATACCGAAGAAGGCCTAAATCTTTGGTATAAAATNAGTCCCAATCTCAGACAATAAATCTAATACATATTTCTGTTAGCACAATCTAATACCATTATTTGACTGAACAACCTCAATCCCAAAGAAATACCGAAGAAGGTCTAAATCTTTGGTATAAAATTATCTCCCCAAATGGATCTTGAAGTGGACAATACCATTTGAGTCATTAGCACTAATGATAATGTCATCAAACATACACAATAATGATAATAATGTCCTTGTGCCATTACCTAAATTGATGAATTATTATACAAAAATGATGCGCAAACTATTCGGGTTTTAACTGCATGGAAATTTTCCACTATTTATGAATCTATGCAGGGCCATTAGTTTTGCCGTTCTATTGCACAACCGCAATCCACATTGGTTTAAGTATTCCACTTCTGGATTTGCCTTGGACCAGTTTTCCCTTTACAGTCATTGCTAATAATCTAATCACCTTATCCAAATCTCTCATTTCATCGGATTCATCATTAACTTGATCTAATCTTGTATAACTTGTTAAACCAACTCTATACTGGATAACAGGGCGGAATATAACCCAGATCAATATTTATGGGAAAAAGCTTTTACGCTTGCAGGAAAAAAGTACAAAAGACAAGACTTAGAGGCAAGTATGGACATCAATTACCAAAGTCTTTCTCTATTCTTTTCTTTAAGAAGTACATAATAGCTTTTTGAGTTTTTTGGACTACCTATTATTCAAATATGCAGCTTAGGAATGGAAGGGGCCATACGTTGCAGTGCAGTCATTATGTTCCTTCCCCTTTCCCAGATGATACTCCTCTTCCTTGTGTCATATACTGCCATGGAAACAGGTTTGTCACATTCATTGCAGACATTTTACCAGGGCAAAACTTAATTTCATTTTGGCTGAGTGTACTCCAGTCCAGTCTATATACTGATGTTCATGAATGTTACATAGATATAATGAATACTTGAATCCCTCTTCTGAAAGTCCTCTTGTATTATTTTCCAAAAGAATTTTGAGTCTTTGTGAAGAGTGCTTTGCATATAAAGAGGTGGAAATCTTTATCGTTTTTATTTTTATTGTGGACCATGCAGTGGATGTAGAGCAGACGCAAATGAGGCTGCTGTAATTCTTCTTCCGTCAAATATAACGGTGTTTACTCTTGATTTTTCGGGTTCGGGCTTATCTGATGGTGATTACGTCAGCCTTGGTTGGCATGAGGTATGTTTTGCTCTTTCTCCTTTATTGAGTTGTGGTTTCTCTGAATTGTGCGAAATTCTTTCCATTTGTATGCCAGAAAGATGACCTCGAGGTTGTGGTGTCTTATTTGAGAAGCAATGAACAAATATCATGCATAGGTCTTTGGGGACGGTCTATGGGTGCAGTAACTAGGTACTCTATATTATCCTTCTCACTGTTTCTCCTACTGTTATTGGGTAGTCAACAAAAAAGGGGGAAATAGAAGAAAATTTGGCTCTTGATTCTTGTATAACCTTCAAAGGTATGATTCAAGAATGGGCTGATTAAATCTGCTCCTAACATTTGGTTGGAATGGAATTCTGTTGANACTCTATATTATCCTTCTCACTGTTTCTCCTACTGTTATTGGGTAGTCAACAAAAAAAGGGGAAATAGAAGAAAATTTGGCTCTTGATTCTTGAATAACCTTCAAAGGTATGATTCAAGAATGGGCTGATTAAATCTGCTCCTAACATTTGGTTGGAATGGAATTCTGTTGGTGACATCAGATGATCAACATGGTGGACCATATATTATTACTTCCCTTATGTAATTGCTGATCTGATTCTGTATAATCGAATGCAGCCTTCTCTATGGAGCTGAAGACCCTTCTATAGCTGGAATGGTGTTAGATAGTGCCTTCTCAAACTTATTTGATCTAATGATGGAGCTTGTGGACGTGTACAAAATCCGGCTTCCTAAATTTACAGTAGGAATCTCTTTGCTGTATGATTGCATCTGTCTTTTCATATACGGAGAGTACAATAGATCTCCCTTATACAAGTATACATATTGCATTCAAGACGAATTCTTGTGGACTCGATACATATTGAATCTCTCTTTATAATTTGTTTGTACCATTCCCCCATTCAGGTTAAGGTGGCTGTTCAATACATGCGACGAGTAATTCAGAAGAAGGCAAAGTTTGACATTATGGACCTTAATTGCATTCAGGTTTGCCTCTGCGCGCGAGATTCTTAACATTAATATGTTTTGCATTTTTTTAGATTGATTAGTTCACAATTGTCAAAGTAATCAATCAATATGTAATTAATCATACATTTATGCTTGAAGATGGTAACTTTTTTCAATATCTTTTTCCAGTGATGTATAGAATGCTGTTTTTTTTTAATAATATGTCAGATTTAAATTTTTTCTTGGGCAATTGCAGGTTGCACCAAAAACGTTTATTCCCGCCTTATTTGGCCATGCTAAGGATGACAAGTTTATTCAACCCCACCACTCTGACCTCATCTCAAAATCCTATGCGGTATTGCCAAAGACCTGGAGATTATAGCATATAAAATAGTAATTTGTAAAATAGATAACAATGTTTGTGATTCTATTCAGGGGGATAAGAATATCATTAAATTTGACGGTGATCACAATTCCTCTCGGCCACAGTTTTTTTATGATTCAGTATCCATTTTCTTCTACAATGTCCTTCACCCTCCTCAAATTCCTTCTGCATATTCAACCAACCTACAGAAATATTATGATTTGGGGGACCTGAAGGCCAGTGCTGGTATGGATGAGGTACTTTTTGTTTTATTCTATTGTTTTCTGTATAGCTAATTGTTTGCCTTTGTCGTGGAAGATAACAAATCTGGCTACATAACAAAAAACTTTTTTATAAGATTCAATTTTGCTTTCCTCTTCTCCAACCTTCTGAACTGGTTTTAGATGTGGACAACATTGTCCTAGTGAAATATTGTTGGCAATATTTGTCTGCTTCCAGTACTAATTTTATGCATTGGATACTAGATGCAAACACTATTATGTTTTATTTGTTTTTACTATAAAGCAAATTACCTAAATGAACCTTAAACTATACCTAGTTTCGGTTCATCCCTGAACTAAATTTTGTTTTAGTCAAGCCTTTAAACTTTTCAAGTTGAGTCAATCTGTCAATGTGAACCTTCCATCAATTCCCTCAAATTTTATACTGGAAAGGACTTGCATGCATTGCATGTAATTGTCCACAGGGTGTTTGTAAGATTATTGCAAAAGTTCTATCAGCCAGACTCGGCGAATGTTTGAGTGATACAATTTCTATATATCAGGGGACTTTTGTGAAAGGGAGACAGATAATGGATGTGTCGCGTGTAGCTAATGAGGCGGTAGATGATTATAGATTAAAGGGGGAGGAGGGCATTGTGCTGGATTTTGTAGTGGGAGCAAAAGGTTTTGGAGGTAGATGGAGGACATGGATTAAGGGATGTCTAGGGTCAATGAATTTTTTTGTTATATTAAATGGTAAGCCTAGGGGAGATTCAGACCATCAAGGGAGCTTAGGTTGGGGGACTCGTTATCTCCTTTTTTTACTTTGGTGGTGGATAGCTTGAGTAGATTAATGGAGCGGGCATTGAAATGTAATTTGGTTGAGGGTTTTGCAATTGTTTGGGAGAGAATATATTTGCCTCATTTGCAATTTGCAGATGACAAAATTTTTTTTCTTCAAGAGCTGAGCAGAAGTTTAAAACTATTGACAAGATTGTTGAGGTGTTTTACATGGTCTCTAGGTTAAAGCTTAATATGGACAAAAGCTTAATTGTAGGAATAAATTTAAGCAGGAGAAGATTGAGAGGTTGTCTATAAATTTAGAGTGTCTTGTGGGTGATTGGCCTTTTAAGTATTTAGGTCTTCCTTTATATGGTAATTCGATGTCTATATCTTTTTGGGATCTTGTCATTATGAAGATATAGAGAAGGTTATATGGTTGGAAGAAAGCCTTTATTTCAAGAGGGGTAGATCAACATTAGTGTAGTGTGTGTTGGAAAATATCCTTATTTATTTCTTGTCTCTTTAGGATACCTTGTTTNTATATGGTTGGAAGAAAGCCTTTATTTCAAGAGGGGTAGATCAACATTAGTGTAGTGTGTGTTGGAAAATATCCTTATTTATTTCTTGTCTCTTTAGGATACCTTGTTTAGTGGTAAGGAGAATTGAAGGGATGATGAGAGATTTTTTATATGAGGGAAGGAAGAAAGAAAGATCATTTGGTTTGTTGGGATGGTGTGTCTAGGCCTAAAGCTAAATGAGGGCTTTAGGTGGGGAATTTGCTGAAACTAAAAATGGCCTTGGTTGGAAAATTGTTGTGGAGATTTTCATTGGAGCTAGGTTCACTATGGCATACNTGGTGGTAAGGAGAATTGAAGGGATGATGAGAGATTTTTTATATGAGGGAAGGAAGAAAGAAAGATCATTTGGTTTGTTGGGATGTTGTGTCTAGGCCTAAAGCTAAATGAGGGCTTTAGGTGGGGAATTTGCTGAAACAAAAAATGGCCTTGGTTGGAAAATTGTTGTGGAGATTTTCATTGGAGCTAGGTTCACTATGGCATACGGTTATTAGGAGCAAATGTGGGTCATAGGCTAATGGGTAGTATATTAACGGAGTTGAAAGTGGTACCTTCCAGAATCAATGGAAATTCATTTGTCAGGGATTGCCTAGTTTTTCTCAAATGGTGAAGTTCATTGTGGGAGATGAGAAGAGAGTTTGTTTCTAAGAGGATATATACAGGGAAGAGTCTATGTTTTTTAATTTGTCCTTATCTTTTTCGTTTTTCTAGTTATCATGGAAAGTGCATTGCATTTTTAGTAATTTCTTATTCTTTTCCCATTTTTTGGGATTTTTGGATTTTGTAGGAATGTTAATGATAGNAAGGATTGCCTATTTTTTCTCAAATGGTGAAGTTCATTGAGGGAGATGAGAAGAGAGTTTGTTTCTAAGAGGATATATACAGGGGAGAGTCTATGTTTTTTAATTTGTCCTTATCTTTATCGTTTTTCTAGTTATCATGGAAAGTGCATTGCATTTTTAGTAATTTCTTATTCTTTTCCCATTTTTTGGGATTTTTGGATTTTGTAGGAATGTTAATGATAGGGAACATTCAAAGTTATTACTACTACTTTCTATGCTCAATAATGTTTCTTTGTTCTCAAATTCTATCGATAAAAGAGTTTGGAGTAGTGAGTCCTCATGTGCCTTCTCTTATAAATTTATTTTGAATCTTTAATTGATGATACTTCACTTCCATTATTCCATCCTTCCTTCAAGATTTGCAAGCCCAGATTCCTTTAAAAATGCAAATCAGTGCATGGATAATGCTCACGGTAAGGCTAATACTAATGATGTGCTTCAAAAGAAGAGACCTATGACTTGTCTTTCTCCACAATGGTGTGTTATAAGTAAAAGGGTATGTGAGAGTGTTGATCACTTGTTATTACATTGTCCTATGGCTCTATCTCTTTGGAACAAATTATTTAACTTTGTTGGCCTTTGTTGGGTGGCTCTGAGATCAATGTCATCTATGTTTTGTTTAGATTTGAATGGGTTTGGAGGATATAGAAAAGGAAAGACCCTCTGGCATTGTGCATTTTTTTGCTACTATTTGGGTTTCTATGGAAGGAGAGGAANACAAATTATTTAACTTTGTTGGCCTTTGTTGGGTGGCTCCGAGATCAATGTCATCTATGTTTTGTTTAGATTTGAATGGGTTTGGAGGATATAGAAAAGGAAAGACCTCTGGCATTGTGCATTTTTTTGCTACTATTTGGGTTTCTATGGAAGGAGAGGAATGCCAGATGAGAAGTGGAAGGAAGTTGAGTGGTTATGGGATCGGATTCATTTCTTGGCTTCATGGATCATCTTTTGCTTTGTTTTGACTTTGGTTTTATTCTTCAATGAGTTGGGCAACTTGTCAACCTTTGAAGGGTTATTGTATCATTTTTCTCAATTTTATTATTAATAAAACTGTTGTTTCTTATCGAAAAAAAAATTGTCTACAAGATCTTTTAGACAACTCATAAAATACTTCCACTACTCAAACCCAAACCCAACCCGCTCGACCCATCCAAAGCAACCAGCCACCTTCTTCTTAACCTAATCAGATCTTTCTCTGCANAACCCAACCCGCTCAACCCATCCAAAGCAACCAGCCACCTTCTTCTTAACCTAATCAGATCTTTCTCTGCAAAAACTGTTGGCAAATCAAATCTCTCTCTCTCTCTCTCCCTTTCACTTCCAAATCAGACCCCTACACCATTGGTTAAAATTAACACGTACCACATTCACCACCTTTGCACTGACCACCTCCATAGCCACCACTTTCACGATCCCTGGCAGCACCACCACCAACACACCCACTGCAACATAACCAGCTTCAATATGACCAGATGATAACCATCTCAAACCCAAACTATTTCAGTAGCAATACGAAAATCAGTTTACGATGTCAAATCAAGGGACTTGGGAAGATGGGGTTGTGTAAAGACTATTTCCTTTATATCGACTGTTAAGGTGTGTTATTCTGACTCCCCACAGTCAAGAAACTGAAGATAATAGAAACTTCTAAATTGATGAACTGTAATTTAGGTACCACATGATTGTGTCAAGTCCTCAAAAAACATCACAACCCATGCAATAACGACTTTCACTTGTGATGGGACCATAATGTAGTCGAAAAGTGCATTGAATCATCAAAAGGGTTTACAAAAGTTGAAAACTCAGAACAAAGCCTTGGAATGGTGTATGGTTTTCCAATCTGTGTGCTTATGGTGGTTTGAGGTATGTTAGAAAAAGTACACCAGACCTTGTTAAAATTTCTCATTTTATTGGCAACTGGTTGATTGTATAAAATTCAGCTGTATTATAGAATTACCATTCACAGTGACTGATTCCTACTAATTGGTTGCAGGCAACATAACCCTAGACCTACTACTCAAGCTTGATTAGTGATCTCAAGTCCTATCTTTTACTCGTGATGTTTCTTATTTGGAAGCTGACATGAAATTTTGTGTTGTTTTTGCTGTCAGAGTCTATTATATGAGATAATATCTGGTCTTCAAACTGTGGGTACTGATACTGCTAGCTCTTCATCTGCCCCACCTAGCATTTCAGCCACGAATTCTGTTGGCAAATTTCTTTCTGAGATTACACCAGTTGCTGGCGTGATTGTATGGATCTTTCCTTCTAGTTTTAGTTGCTTTTTTTTTTTTAATTTAATTTTTCATTTTCCTTTAAATTGAATTTTTATTGATGACAAGTGCAGGATTCCATGGTCAATGAAGACCGTACACTGAATGATGATGACCCATCACAATTGCAGGTGATTTTAGTTTGTATTATTCATCAGAGCTTAAATTTTAGAATTGTTGATTTCTATCTAAATGAGGACGAACTCCCTGAACCTTGTACTCTACATCATACTAACTGAAGCTGTTTGTTTGCTTCGATCTGGCAATGATTGTACCTATATGTGTGGATGACTCATCTACCTCCAATGCTGTGGTGACCAAGAATTGTGGATACTTTTTAGATGGTTTTGTGTCCATGTCGAATAACAGCTCTTCTTGGACACTCTCTTGCACGTATCCGGCACCCCTTTAACTGTGTACATATAAAAACACAACAATCTTAATTTTGCCTAAGCTGTCTCTTGGAGACATGTGATTGACAAAACTTGGAAATTGAGATATGAATAGTTCAGTAGTTAAGACTTAAGAGTAATTAAAGTAAGGAACCCTAAAAAATATAGCAGCAGGTTTTTGTTGTATTTATGAGCAAACTAGGAGACATGAATCTTTGCTAAAGAAGGGGGAGGGGGGGTGGAGGATGGGAGAAGTCACCCTAATTTATGTGTGCTTCTTATGCTTAATTTATACCAAGACTGATTGTAGCCCCCTGATTCAAGTGTAAACTAGTGTTACAACAATGGATATACGATCTATTTTCATTTATCAAAAAATATACGCCTATATTGCATTACTTTGTGTGCAGGTAAAATAAATAATTCATGTATGTAAAATTACATCTATAAGGACATCTCCAATCCTTACTCAAACCCTTACACAAATTTAAATCTGAGTAAAAATAAACTTAAAAATAATCTTCAGTTTTTTACTCAAACTTATATCAAATGAAGAGAGGTTCAAATCTTTACCCAAATCTTTAATGGTCAGATTCATTTTTTTAAAAGATCAAATGATCATATTTCACCGACCTTTAAATTTGTGTTTGCCCATTGGATTGTCTTATATCAAATTAAGATTTTTACTCAAATGTTAACTCAAATTTGAGTAAACATTGGAGATGGCCTAATTGGTTAAGTCCTCTCTGACATGCCAAAGCTTCTAAGCTATGGGTTATTCATTTTTATTCTCTTCTCTCCCTTCTTTTTTTTTTTTTTTGGGGGGGGAGTGCTACAAACTTGAACTAAGGAGTGTGGGTGTTATTTTCTTGATGAAATTATTTTACTGGAGTTCTGTAATTTTGATCTTCCCAGGACAAGCCAAGTGGTCAAAATGAGGAATGTTGCTCGTATGCAAGCTCAAATAGAGAGAGTTGGGGAAGATGCTCGTCTTTGGGCAGTGATGACGAACCTTCCACGAATTGCAGCACCGCTTACGACAACAATCAGGTCTCTCTCTCTCTCTCTCTTTCTCTCCCTCTCACACACACACACACACACAGGCACATCTTTGCAAGGATGTGCTTTTTTTCCCGAGTTGTTTTACTTGTTGATCACTTTTTGCTAACTTCAATTAGGTATGGTCATTAACAATGAGGGACTTTCCTTAATAGTTTTGCGGTCAGCAGCGTGAATTGGACTGTTTAATTTTTGGTATGGGCTGGACAAAGGATAAATGGAATTGATTAGTTTTCAAGGTGTTGGTTGTACCACCTCTCGTGAAGTTTGGGAGTGCCTTCAACAAAATTTCTCCCAAGTCTCTTGTTAATGCTATTCATCTCCAGTTTGAACTCTTCTCTATCTCCAAGGTACTAAGACTATTTCTGAATACCCTTGCCAGGCAAAATCTATTTCTGATTCTCTTGTTGCTATTAATGTATGCATCTCCAACACTGATCTTGTCTCCTCAATTCTTCGTGGCTTAGGCCTAGATTATGTTATACTTGTCACTGTCATTCTCAACTTCTATTCCACCTTTTTCTGCCTCCACTGCCAGAAGCACCTACGTTGACACTTTCTGACCCTTCATCTTCATGTGCAACTATTTCATCTTCTAATATAGGTTCCCAGGCAATCGACATCCTCCAATTCGAATCACTTGATCACATGATCCCGTGATGGTACTAAGAAGCCCAAGGAACGCTCATATTTTGCTACTCGACATCCTCGACCTCAAGCCTTTGTTACTCAAGTTTCCACTTTAGATGCTGAACCTACAAGTTATTCTCAAGCTATTCGCTCTCCAAAATGGAGAAAGGCAATGTTTGAGGAGTTCAATGCTCTTCTCAAAAATGGCACTTGGTCTCTAGTTACATATGAGTGTTCAAAGTTAAATGTCACTTTGATGGGAGTATTGAGTGTTATAAGGCTTGCATTGTTACGAAAGACTTTCACCAATAACTTGGAGTAGGCCGGTTTTAGTCTGCGAATTTTTTTTTTTGGGTTGGGCCAGGGTAGTGTAGACCTAATCCCTTACTCAATTGAGTTATCAAGCGGGTCGAAGTCCAACCGGTCAGTCACTTACTCAATTGGGTTGGCGTGGACCTATGGACCTGTTGGGTGGGCTTACAGGCAGGCCTATTAGACTGGCCTTTTATATACAACTTTATTTAGAAATAATGAATATTTTTGTAACTTGATATTTTTGTAAATTACATTTTTCAATTAAAATTAGAGTCAAAATAGACAAAAAAAAAAATAAATAATGAATATTTTTATTTATAAATAGGTGAGGAACTGCATCACAATAGAATAAGTATATCCTAATTTTAAATTTCAAATTTAGTGTGTCTAACTTTTTTTCAAAGGAAGGACGGGTTGGGCGAGCGGGTTCTTGGGCCAGGTTTTAATGAACTTTTTGCAAGCAAGCTATTGGACCAAGTTTCAGGCCGGGTAATGGGTTTGGGGTAGGCTTAAGCCCTCTCTTAAAGGATATTGGACTCCTAGTCTTGACAATGATGAGACCTTCAACCCAGTTGTGAAACCTACTATGATTCGTACAGTTCTTAGTCTTGCTACCTCATATGGTTGGTCTCTTCACCAATTTGATTTGAAAAATGCTTTTCTTCAAGAGTCTCTCTTCGAAGAAGTGTTCATGAATCAATCACAAGGCTTTGTTGATTCTCAAGGCCTTCTCATGTTTGCAAACTCCATAAGGCAATCTATGGCCTCAAGCAAGCTCTTAGTGCATGGTTTAAATGCATTAACCATGGTTCAAAGTCGCGGTATTGGCCATCGATTCGAAAAATTTTGAAATACATCTGTTGTGGTGTTGTGTTGCTGTGTGGAGCGATACGACCTAAAAGAAAATGTTGAATAAGACAAAAGATTCAGGTCATATCGTGATGTTGTAGAACCGTATCAGCTGATTCAGTGACGATAACACGACGACTCAAGATTGACTTGGATACAACTCGAACGACTCGGCCGAATCGTGCAAGACTCGGGGTTTATGCGTATCGTGTAATGGTATCGTCTCAGAAGGTGTCAAGTCAAATATGACTCGTTTCGATATTGACTGATACTTTGAACCATAACTTTAGCTCTTTCCTTATCTCGTTTGGTTTTGCTCAGTCGAGCTGACAGTTTTATGNGCGGTCAGCAGCGTGAATTGGACTGTTTAATTTTTGGTATGGACTGGACAAAGGATAAATGGAATTGATTAGTTTTCAAGGTGTTGGTTGTACCACCTCTCGTGAAGTTTGGGAGTGCCTTCAAAAAAATTTCTCCCAAGTCTCTTGTTAATGCTATTCATCTCCAGTTTTAACTCTTCTCTATCTCCAAGGTACTAAGACTATTTCTGAATACCCTTGCCAGGCAAAATCTATTTCTGATTCTCTTGTTGCTATTAATGTATGCATCTCCAACACTGATCTTGTCTCCTCAATTCTTCGTGGCTTAGGCCTAGATTATGTTATACTTGTCACTGTCATTCTCAACTTCTATTCCACCTTTTTCTGCCTCCACTGCCAGAAGCACCTACGTTGACACTTTCTGACNTGGATCGGCTGTCTTGACAATCGTCTCTCTACGACAAGGTATTGTGTTTTCTTCAGCCCGAATCTGGTTTCTTGGGGCGCCAAGAATCAAGCAACAATTTCTAGATCCAGTGTTGAATCTAAGTATCGGGCACTTGGTATATGGGTCCGACACCACCTTTGTGATCTTTGGGTTCCGGTCCCTTCACCGAAATATCTCTATTGTGATAATATTAGTGCTACATAAATGGCTGCCAATTTTGTCTTTCATGCTCGCACCAAACACATTGAGTTCGACTATGACTTTGTTTGTGAGCATGTTGTCGGTAGTCACCAAGTTTGTTTTGTTCCTTCAACAAATCAAATTGCCGATATCTTCACTAAAGGCCTTCCAAATCACCAATTCTCTCTTTTATCTTCCAAATTTGTCCCTCAGTTGCTGTTAAGTTTGCGGGAGAGCATTAGAGTGCCTGATTGAGTGGAATTATTCAGCACGTGAATTGTAATTTGCTGAAGTCATGGAAATGTTTTGTGATTTGTATATATAGAGCACCAGCAGAATGAGACAAACACTGAAAAGTCCAACTATCTTTTCTTACATATCTATTGCTATGCATGGTACTCATACTTTAGGATGCACATATTTCTTTTATCATTATGCTTCTTGACGAGCAACTTTTGTTGCTTTATTCAATTGTAGACTCTAAAGGTGCTAGCAACACCTCTTCGAAAGATTCAGCATTCTTCATCACAATCAAAAGAGAACAAGAAGAAGCAGAAAGTTTCAACAGTTGCAAAGAAACCCAAAGCCGATAAATTTGAAAAGCTAGAGGCCCTTAGCCAGCGTCTTCGTCTTTGCATTTTGAAGCGAGTTAGTCATAGGAGACATCGCTCTTCATGACAGCCTTTGTAGGATAGGAAAGAACCAATGTTTGTAATTGTAATTCCAATTTTTCTTTAGTTCATTTTTAATTTTCCGTCCCTCCGGGAATTGTTTTTTTTTTAAAGTTATTCCGGTAGGTTAGATGAACATTATAATTATTATTTTTAAGAAAGTATGCAAGCATAGATTCCGATGTAATTTAAGGGCACCATTTTTTTGATTGTTGCATGTGATTGGTAAAACATAACATGTGGGTTATGTGTATGTGGGTGGGTGTGTGTGCACGTGGGTTTATTAGCTATGGATTTGAAACTGTGGGGCTTTGCTTTGCATGTTATACTGTGCAACGGAGGGAGAGCAACTATTTGTCACCAGTAGTTCAGATAAGATAATTAGTTTGTGTGGGCGAGAGGGGGAGTGGGGGTTATTGATTAAATTCCCCACTTGGATGCAACTTTAGTTGGCAGATAATGTTATGGTATTCAAAATTAATTCTTTCATGATATATCAGAAAATGAATCTAAATAATTAATTTTAGATTGAGTTATTTATAGTTATTAATTAAAAAAAATTAAAATCATAATTTTTTTTAGGTGTCATATTGTGATTGTATGTAAAACGAATATAATGTCAAAAATATTATTTGATAACATTTTCAAACCCTTAATTGATTTACATGTAGCTTACCATCAATATTTTTTGGCTTTGATTGATGTGGATGTTGTTGAATTTATTGAGACACAAAAAATAGTATCTGAAAATTATTTTTAGAAAAAGTTTTAAAAAAGTGTTTTTAAAAATTTTTAGATTATAAATTCTGTTTGCTTATATATTTTTGAAAATAGTTTTAAAGATTAAAAATTATAAAATTTATTTGAACAATAATTCACAATTTCTCCATCTCTTTAACTCTCTGTCTCTCTCTCTTTTACTATGCATCAAGACCATCACCAAAATCCACAACTCCAAAACCTACAACCATCCAAAATTCACAACTACCACCTGTGTCTTGAACCCAAATACCAAAAAAAAAAAGACACTGGAAAGGACAGAAATGACACTGGAGATCGTCGGAGTTCTTGAACTCAAATCGTGGGTGTGTTTCGTTTGGATTTGCCAAAGTGGTGAGAGAAATGATGTATGTTTCGTCTGGACAGTGTCGTTGCGCAGAGAAAGAAGAGAGAGAATGGAGATGGAGAAAGACGCGGGTGAAGGGTTTTTATATTTCAACAAAAAAAAATGTATTTTATTGCTAAGAAAATTTGATAAATAGACCTCGATAAAGAAAAGGGGATGTTTCCCTTATTTTTTATTTTAGCCTTAAAACTCAAAAAACATCATTTTATTATTCTTTAAAATCAAATTTCAATTTCTAAAATTTTCAAAATATAAGAAAACAAAAAAATTAAACAAACAACATTCCTTTTATTTTTAAAATTTTGAGAATAAAAAATTATTTTTAAAAATCAAAACAAACATGCCCCAGTATTCCTGTGGTTTCACACTTCACAGGAAGCCAAGGGGAGGCATAACGCGGATCGGGTTGGACAGATACCGATACCGATACCGATACCGATTAAGATTAAGACAGAATTTGAGAGATAGAGAGGGGGATGTGATATCTATGGCGCCCATCGTCCGCAGTGGTGTCCATCCAGTTCCACACTGAGACAGACAAGCACGGATATAATGATAGAGAACAGTTTAATTGATATTTAAGTAGTTTAGCAATCCATCAGATCAGAGAGCTGTAACTCGTTTTGTCTTCTCTTTCCATGGCTATTGCGAACACGGTGGTCCTCCTCTATTTTATTATATTCTCAGTTCCGGTACGCGTGTTGGCTGCTTCACAACAACAGCTGCGTTNTAATTGATTTACATGTAGCTTACCATCAATATTTTTTGGCTTTGATTGATGTGGATGTTATTAAATTTATTGAGACACAAAAAATAGTATCTAAAAATTATTTTTAAAAAAGTGTTTTTAAAAATTTTTAGATAATAAATTCTGTTTGCTTATATATTTTTTTAAATAGTTTTAAAGAAAAAAAATTATAAAATTTATTTGAACAATAATTCACAATTTCTCCATCTCTTTAACTCTCTGTCTCTCTCTCTTTTACTGTGCATCAAGACCATCACCGAAATCCACAACTCCAAAACTTACAACCATCCAAAATTCACAACCACCACCTGTGTCTTGAACCCAAATGCCAAAAAAAAAAAAGACACTGGAAAGGACGGAAATGACACTGGAGATCGTTGGAGTTCTTGAACTCAAATGGTAGGTGTGTTTCGTTTGGATTTGCCAAAATGGTGAGAGAAATGATGTATGTTTCGTCTGGACAGTGTCGTTGCGCAGAGAGAAAAGAGAGAGAATGGAGATGGAGAAAGACGCGGGGGAAGGGTTTTTATATTTCAACCAAATAAATGTATTTTATTGCTAAGAAAATTTGATAAATAAGCCTCAATAAAGAAAAGGGGATGTTTCCCTTATTTTTTATTTTAGCCTGAAAACTCAAAAAACATCATTTTATTATTCTTTAAAATCAAATTTCAATTTCTAAAATTTTCAAAATATAAGAAAACAAAAAAATTAAACAAACAACATTCCTTTTATTTTTAAAATTTTGAGAATAAAAAATTATTTTTGAAAATCAAAACAAACATGCCCCAGTATTCCTGTGGTTTCACACTTCACAGGAAGCCAAGGGGAGGCATAACGCGGATCGGGTTGGACCGATATCGATACCGATTAAGATTAAGACAGAATTTGAGAGATAGAGAGGGGGATATGATATCTATGGCGCCCATCGTCCGCAGTGGTGTCCATCCAGTTCCACACTGAGACAGACAAGCACGGATATAATAATAGAGAACAGTTTAATTGATATTTAAGTAGTTTAGCAATCCATCAGATCAGAGAGCTGTAACTCGTTTTGTCTTCTCTTTCCATGGCTATTGCGAACACGGTGGTCCTCCTCTATTTTATTATATTCTCAGTTCCGGTACGCGTGTTGGCTGCTTCACAACAACAGCTGCGTTTCGACGGAAAGGGGGAGTTTAGGATACTGCAGGTGTCTGACATGCACTATGCGGATGGCAAATCAACCCCTTGTGAGGACGTCTTACCCCAACAATTCCCCACTTGTTCCGACCTCAATACTACGGCCTTCGTCCACCGCATGATCCTTGCCGAGAAACCTCACCTCATCGTTTTCACCGGTACTCTCTGTTTATCATCAGAATCATTATTGTTGTTGTTGTTCCTGTTATCACTAAATTGATAATTATTACTGCCACTACTAAAACAATATTATTACTATTAAAATTGTTGTTGTTGTTGTTGTGACACCCCCACTCGATTCCACACTACAATCCGAGCCCTAAATAACCTCAATTGAACACGTCAATACCCTTGCATAAAATAGCTTTACAATAGTACACTTTTTACAACTCTAGGCTAAGCTTGTAAATAATTACAAAATTGGTTCAAATGACCTAAGGTGATCCATACACTTTAAATTTCACAATTCTAGTTTCAATCCGCTAATGACCTGCCCACAATATAATAAGAGTACAAATAATCAAATATCAATTACTTCAAAAGATGACATAAACATCAAATAGGTCGTCAACAACCTTCAGCTTCCCAGATTTGATTATGTCAGCTCGGACCCATATTGGATTTGACCCATTCAGCATACTCGGATGGTCTCAATTGGAACATTAGAATGATAATAAGTCAGTCAATTATATCATGTACTCATAGAACTCAATCAGAATTTCAATTGATAACAAGTCAATCAATTGGAATACAAATTGATATGATGAAAAGAAACTCTTTTGCAAAGAGAATTAGGAACATATCTTGAAATAATAACTCCACTTACCCAATCAGAAATTGACCCCCGATAGATATGCACCCCATAAAAATTGATCCCACATTTGGTCTCAAAGCTTTTATTCTTTACTCTCTCAGTTTCCATTTCTATGTTTGTATCCCTTTTGTTGCTTGCCTTGGTCTTTTCCTTTTATTTTTTCTTTCTGTTTGTCTCTCAATTTTTTGCTCCCACCATTGACAGAAGCTAAATATTAAAACAATGCACACAAACCAACAACCTTTATATTAAGACAACACACTACACAATGATCTACTTCAATTACTACACACACACACTACACAGGTGTTCCATGACTCATTCAAATAAAGGAGACACCTCTCCACTCCAACCATTTTCTTTGTTATATTATTTTATTATCTTTTCTTTGATTTTGTGTATTTCTTTTCCTTGATCTTCTTACACGTTAAACCCTTTACACTCACTACAAATGCTCTCTTTTATTTCCTTGTCACAAAGCATCCCAGCACACATATTTTAAGGACATTTGTCTATTTATTTATTAATTTAATCTTTTAACTTGTATCTTACACAAAATATTATCAATAAAATAGTAATAAACCCAAACCAAGCAAACATTTAAACATAACATTGTCCAATGATTCATTACATTTAAGTTAATACTCTTATCTCTAATTATAGTTTAACCCCAATAAAATTTAATTATTTTGTATTAATCAGAACGGAATGTGACACCTATTGTCTCCTTAACTTACTATCAAATTTTTTTTGTTTTGTGCGTGTGTGTGTGTACAAGCACACACCCACACACTCCAGAGGTAGAGAACCACAAAATCAACAGAAAGGGTGAGTCCTAGAATGATCAAAATTCTTTAACTGAGAGTGTCCTTCCCCTTCGAAATTACAATCACACAACTAGCAAATTTTACTACTATTTTGGAGTTGATCTAAGTGGAGTAAAGCATCGCGCCTATTTTCTGTTTATTCTGGAAATATGTTATTGCTTGTAATTTAATGAGTGAATTTCAAATAAAAATTATTATCAAAATTCTGTAACTGATTTTAGTCTTTAAGATATTATTTTGTTTTTTCAACTTATGAATAATTGATATGTTGGGGTTGTCACATTTTTGTAACTGAATATGAACTAATGAGCATATCATGGTATTGGCTATTATCGATTTTGTCAATTCTTTATCATCTTTATGATATTAGTATGGGGGATATTTCCAACAATATTAAGAGCAGATGCCAATTTAAGACTACAATTTTCATATAGTTCTCCTGTTGTTACTATTAAATATAATCAAAGAGAGAAAAGGAAGAAGAAATAGTGAAAGAAAAAAAGTATTATTGCTGCCCAATTATTCTGTCTCACAGCCTTAACCTAAATTGCACAATAAATGTCCTTATATAGTAAGGCAATGCAGAATAGTATAAACTACTAAACTACCCCTAATATTTAATACTCTTAACACCCCCCTCAAACTCATGATGTAGTAGAGAATATCAAGAGTTTGTCAAGAAGAAGGCAAAAATGGGTGATGATGGGAGATTTTGTAAAAAAATCCGCTAACTGCATAATGGAAGGAAGAAAGGGGAGAGTAATGGTGCTCAGCTGAAGNAATATTATTGCTGCCCAATTATTCTGTCTTACAGCCTTAACGTAAATTGCACAATAAATGTCCTTATATAGTAAGGCAATGCAAAATAGTATAAACTACTAAACTACCCCTAATATTTAATACTCTTAACACCCCCCTCANTATTTTATTTCCTTGTCACAAAGCATCCCAGCACACATATTTTAAGGACATTTGTCTATTTATTTATTAATTAAATCTTTTAACTTGTATCTTACACAAAATATTATCAATAAAATAGTAATAAACCCAAACCAAGCAAACATTTAAACATAACATTGTCCAATGATTCATTACATTTAAGTTAATACTCTTATCTCTAATTATAGTTTAACCCCAATAAAATTTAATTATTTTGTATAAATCAGAACGGAATGTGACACCTATTGTCTCCTTAACTTACTATCAAATTTTTTTTGTTTTGTGCATGTGTGTGTGTACAAGCACACACCCACACACTCCAGAGGTAGAGAACCACAAAATCAACAGAAAGGGTGAGTCCTAAAATGATCAAAATTCTTTAACTGAGAGTGTNGGAAAGTGCCTTTCGCTGATGAGCTTTCCTGGCATTCTGTTTGCATAATTTTAGTTGTTTTATCTACTTGCTAGTATAATTGTATTTGCGTTTATCGTATCAATTGTTTGCAAAATTTATTATATTATTCTCTGATTTTTCAACAGCTGACAATATATCCAATCAAATTCTGTTTATTAACCTCTGCCAAATGTTTACTGGGGTGGGACATGGGAAGCAGGGGATAACATCTTTGGATTTGATGCAACGGATGCAGAAACATCTATGAATGCTGCCTTTGCCCCAGCAATATCCTCAAACATTCCATGGGCTGCTGTTCTGGGAAACCATGACCAAGAATCCACTCTCTCAAGGGAAGATGTGATGAAACATATTGTTGCCATGAAGCACACCTTGTCTCAACTTAATCCTCCTGAGGCCCACTTTATCGACGGTTTTGGGAACTACAACCTGGAAGTCCTTGGCATTGAGAATTCCAGTTTTGTCAATAAATCAGTTCTAAATCTGTACTTCCTTGACAGCGGTGATTATTCCACTGTTCCTTCCATCCCTGGCTATGGTTGGATCAAACTCTCTCAGCAGCTCTGGTTTCAACAGACTTCCATGAAGCTTCGGGTACTAAACTCCCACAGTCCCACTCTTTTGTTCACCTAAAGGTTTAGTATAGTCTTGTGGATTGATTCGTGATGAGTCAGTTCTGCTGTCCGTTTTAGTTGTTGCCGTAATCATAATGAATGGAGTCTGTCTAATTGACCTTCTGATGCAGAGATCATACATGAACCAGCCAGAGGCTCAGAAGGCTTCTGCTCCGGGGCTTGTGTATTTTCACATTCCCTTGCCTGAATATGCAAGCTTTGACTCCTCGAACTTCACTGGNTTCTGATGCAGAGATCATACATGAACCAGCCAGAGGCTCAGAAGGCTTCTGCTCCGGGCCTTGTTTATTTTCACATTCCCTTGCCTGAATATGCAAGCTTTGACTCCTCGAACTTCACTGGTGTAAAGCAGGAAGGCATTAGCTCTGCTTCTGTAAACTCTGGCTTCTTCACGACTATGGTAGAAGCAGGGAATGTGAAGGCCGTTTTCACAGGCCATGATCATCTAAATGATTTCTGTGGTGAGTTAACTGGTATACAGCTCTGTTATGGTGGAGGCTTTGGATATCATGCTTATGGGAAGGCTGGATGGGCAAGGAGGGCAAGAGTGGTTGTGGCATCATTAGAAAAAATGAAGAAGGGAGGTTGGGGAGCGATCAAGTCCATCAAAACATGGAAGCGCATTGATGATGATCACCTAACTGCTATTGATGGTCAGGTGCTTTGGAGCAAGAGCTCTGCAGGTAAGTTGCTTCTGTGGTACATGTAAACCTGTTTGCCACTGGTCTTTTCCATTTGTCCCAGATGTAGACAACAGCGTTGGTTTAGGGATGCTGAAGTGATTGGTTTCATCATTTCATGTCATCTAGGATCCTTCCTATAAGCAACTCCAATCTTTTGAAATGGCTAGCTTATGAAAATGACCCAGGAATAGAACTTACAGGGGTTCGGCTTCATCCTAGACTTGGATTCTTATTGTTTTTTCTTTGGGTAAATTACATTCAAATTTCGTGAGGTTTGGTCAAATAACAATTAGACCTCCTCCTCATTGTATGGTAAATAACACTGCACTCCCTGCTGCTTTGATTGTCAAAAACAGATTTCCCCAATCGGTAACATTATATTAAATATTTGATGATGTAAGCAAATTTTATTTNCTGCTTCATCCTAGACTTGGATTCTTATTGTTTTTTCTTTGGGTAAATTACATTCAAATTTTGTGAGGTTTGGTCAAATAACAATTAGACCTCCTCCTCATTGTATGGTAAATAACACTGCACTCCCTGCTGCTTTGATTGTCAAAAACAGATTTCCCCAATCGGTAACATTATATTAAATATTTGATGATGTAAGCAAATTTTATTTCAAAATCCATTTTGCCCATGGATTAATTTGGACAAATCTTAGGGCAACATAATTGCAACACATAAAAATTATAAGAAAATCACCAATTCACCTCAACATACACTACAACTTCCCTCATGGCCCCACCCTCCAACTTGCCAGCCTCTCCTCCCTGCCGCAGTGCACCCTCTCCAATATCCCTGCATAGCGCCTTTGCCACCTACCAAGTATCAACAGCTCATTCCCACCACTCTACCACCCTTTCCCACCCCCATCTCACTCCAACTTTGGACAGCGCCCCATTCTCCCCTTCCAATCATTATGCCACCCCACCTTACACAACGCCTTTGTCTCCCACCCACTCCCACCTCACATAACCAGTATCACAATTGAACACATATCACCACAACCCCGCACCTCCTTTTCCACCGCCATTAACCACAAAATCACCAGTTCCGCAAATAACCCACCGCAATTTACCCATTTCTTCGACCATAATTCATAAATTCCTGCCTCTCTCTCTATATATATGTGTGTGTGTGTGTGTGTGACCCTCTTTGTATAGACCCTCTTCCTCGACCCTCGTACAGGCCCACCCCTGCAACTCTTCCCACAACCTCGCCCCTCACTGCACCTCATAGTATTTCTTTTTGTCAAAAATTTTGATTTCCAGTTTGTCGATTGGTTCTGTTTTGGTTTGAGGGTGTGGTGGTAGTGGGCTTTCAGGTATCACTTGGAGGTGATGGATTCAGGGTTTCAACTGGTTTTGAGTAGCAGTGAAGTTGGTGGGTTTTAGTGAGTTTTGTGTGTGATTGTGTATACTTGAGAGAGAGAGAGAGAAGAAGAAGAAGAAGAAGAAGAAGAAGAAAAAGAAACACACATGCAGTGGATTGTTGTGTGTGGTGGTGGTTGGTGGTTGGTGGTTGGGAGCGTGAGCTGGAGGAGGCACACTAATGCATCCGCTTGGTGGGTTTTGGGGTAGTTGGGTGGGTGAGTAGTAAATATCCTGACTGTATGAAGGAAATATCGTCATTTTGGTATTTTCCATCTGTTTTAATTAAACGGACATCAGTGACAGGGGTACTCAGTATATTCTCCATACTTGAGGGGGTCTAGCTGTTATTCGACCAAATCTCAGAGGATATGAATGTAAGTTACCCTTTTTCTTTTGACAAGGATTTAATAGCAAAATGATGAGATTCAGTGTGTAGCACGACGATGATGGGTGCTAGTTTGCATCTTCCCCGACCATCACCAGTTTTACGGGATCTATCAGTGAGTGTGCAGTGGATTTTTTGAGTGGCGGATGATCTCTGAGTGTTGTGTGGTGTTGATTTCTGTGTCACTGGTCATCCAAATCAGACGAATGATGTATGAGTGGCCCTGTTTTAATTTTGCCTTCACTTGGTTCGCAGAAAATTTGTGTCCAGTTTTCAAAGGTTGTATCTTTTTCATGCCAAAAACTATAAGGTCTGCATCGCACATCATAATTGTTACCTTTTTGGGGTTCTTATTGATGTCCTTGTGATGTGGATCGATGCACATCTGACTCCCCCGTTACCCTGTAGTATCCCAGCTTGATCTCACTTCTTGTTTTTATTTGTTCTGAAACAGGTACACGTAGAAAGAAACAGATTGGCCACGTTTAAGTGGTGCCCAAAGTAATATTTCTACTGGACTGATGTGTCTCAGAACACCCAAAAGATTTGTTTCTTGTATGTCAAGATGGAATTTGCCCTGTAGATTCTACTTTCCAGGATGTACCATTGTAGAAAAGATGGCACAACAAGGCATGCAAGTGTTTCATCTTTCAGTTTGCTGACTTGATTTACTACTTAAGATTAGACACATTGTTTCCACTACCAATTATGTGCTGAATTGGGTAACTGGTCCTGTTTCTGCAGGAAAGATGATGCTTGATTCTGTATAAAACTACTTTATGAAGATGTCTGTGACATCTTTAATATTAGTTACATGATTCAGGAAGGGCCTGAGTTGTTTGCAGATCATCACCTTGCAATAATTCACTAAGGACACTAGATGGTGATGCATGAGATATGAGGTTAGCAACGGATACGTCAAGGATCTAAATCTAAAACGAGTAGAAAGAACTGAAAAATATTCTAAAATCGGAAAGTAGATTGCTTAAAGCTTTGATGTGATTTTGAGAATTTTGTTATGTAATATTCTACCTTGGCATAACCTCTACTTAAGTCTATTGAAGCTGCAATGTTGCTTTCAAACAAAAGAAACTGGAAGCGAGACTAGTGTACTTGCTTCATCTTGCTGTAGAGGTTCAAATAGCTAAAATGAATTGTTTTCAACGGTGGAAGTCAGTTGTTGCGATGGTATCTGTTGATTTTGCTTTGGCTATTGTCCACGTACTTCTTAAGAAGGTCCTAAACGAAGGAATGGATCATTTACTCATTGCCACATACAGACAATCAATCGCAACAATTTTCTCGACTCCAATTGCCTATTTATGGGAAAGGTACTGGCTATTAGATACAATACCTTTTCTTCTTCCATTTTTTCCGTGGAAAATTGAAAATCTGGCTGTTCCCAGACTAGGCTGAGCTCTAAGCAAAAGAAAGAAAGAAAGATGTGGCTGAGCCTTGCATTGGCTCAACTTTTATTCCTTTTTGGGGTCATCGAAGAGTTGACCAGACCACCTTCTTTGCTTTCAGTCTAGTCCTTGCAAAATTTAGTGGCTTGAACAGCTTCGAGTGGTCAGCCAGTTTGTCCTGGTTCTCTCGCCAAGTGGACTGTTCCCGGATCAAATCCCCATATCCCTCTTTCGGCCAAAAATCTTTACGCATACCCGGGTTGTAAAAAAAAATAATAATAAAAGAAGTGGCCTGAATTAGATCTTACCACTCTTTGTCCNAATCCCCATATCCCTCTTTCGGCCAAAAATCTTTACGCATACCCGGGTTGTAAAAAAAAAATAATAATAAAAGAAGTGGTCTGAATTAGATCTTACCACTCTTTGTCCAAAATTCATGGCATGCAACTATAATCAGTCGGTTTTGTTGCAGGACAAGCAGGCCCAATCTCACAGCTTCCATATTATGTATTCTCTTTTTTAGCGCACTGGTTGGGTTAGTTATGATACCCATGTTTAATAGTGTTCTTGTTAACTTAGCATGTATCTATCATTCATATTGGTTCATTTAGTAACATGTATCTACAGTTAGTATAATACTAGCAGTGCTACTGCTATTATAAATAGCAAGAACCTTAACAGCTAACAAGGGTGATTTCTGTACTGAGAGTAAGGTTAATGGCTGTCAGGGGGACGCTCACTCAATACTTCTTCCTTCTTGGGCTTGAATATACATCTGCAACATTTACATGCACTTTCATCAACATGGTGCCCGTAAACACATTTATTATGGCATTGCCATTTGGGTAAGTCTAAACAACGTTGGCACCACTTTGATTGCTGCTTTTTTTTAATGAACTTTGATTGTTGGTTAAAAGAAAAATATAGTTTTGCTCCATATATACAACCCTTGTAGGCTAGAGAAACCAAACATGAAAAGCAAGAAGGGGAGAGCCAAGGTGTTAGGCACACTGGTTTGTGTTGGTGGAGCCTTGTTGCTGACACTTTATCGAGCTATGCCATTAACGGACCTGCCAGTACAAACAGCTATAATTCACAGAACAGATCATAGCACAAAGAGATGGGCCCTTGGTTCAGTAGTTCTGATTGCAGGCAGCCTATTGTGGTCTTCATGGTTCCTTATACCCATTTCAATACTCTAGCACTGCCATTATGTCCTTCTTCAGTGCCATCCAGTCGGCCATCTTAAGCCTTGTGATTGAGAGGAACTGGAATATTTCTGGATGGGTGTTCAAGGGAAACTGTTATATACGCTGTGGGTATTCTTTCCATGATCAATCAACGTTTTTGTACACCAAGGGTATTTTCTTTTTCCCTTTCCACCAGCCCCTCTATATGGGATGTTCTTGACATTTCATTTTTCAGATCAGTATACTTGTATAATCAACACTCAATTGACATACACTATGACCACTAACTATCATATGATAGCTTGTGAAATAAATTTACCATTTGGTTCACCACGTTGAGCTCCATAAAATTAATATAACCCAGATTGTGAAAGGTGGCTCTACCTCTTTATGCAAAGAAGGACCAAATTAAGAATACCTCGAAGCTAATAAGAATAAAATTAAAAGTGGATGCAGGGGACGGTTGGATCGGGCCTATGCTATGTGGTGATGTCATCGTGTGTCAAACAACGGGGTCCTGTCTTCATCTCAGCATTCAGCCCCTTCATACAGATATTTGTTGCTGTCTTTGATATCTCCATCCTACATGAACAGATTCACCTTGGAAGGTGCAGTTTTATTTGATTCTTCTTTAAATCGTTTTTTGTTCATCAGCTCAACATTTACCATTTGTAACGTGTTCTACGGTATACAAACAGTGTTCTGGGATCCATTCTAGTTATTGCTGCTATGTATATACTCCTATGGGGTAAAAGTAATGAAGCAGAGACTTGTGCAATTAAGCAGACTCATCAAGGAGAAGAGGACGGAGATTGCAATCGGGTGTTACAATCAAGTCCAATCGCTATCAACCCTAGTACAGCTTATACACTCTCCCTATGCGTCATATTAAATGTGGTTTACTTCGCCTCTACAAAAGGATTTCTTGACAGGATTAGCATTTAGAAAGCAACGGTACTTAACGATGTATAATTATTATTTGCCACTACTGCAGGTATCTCTTTACAGGTAAACATGCGAAGGTCTAGTGTCCACACTTAAAAATGAATACTCCCTCTAGCCTAACTTACAATAATATTTTCTGATATTTGGATTCATTCTATGGCTACCTACTGATATTTTAATACTAACACGATGACCCGTGATACTGCTTGGCTACCTCATACAGACTTTCGAGAAACTCTATCTCAAAGTGAGTTAGAGACACCTTGTATTTCACTTAAATAAAAAGAACTACATAATGCATTTGACACATTTGAATGGGTACCAACAAATTGTATATAGCATAAAGATTCGAGGACTCTATTTTATTAATCGTAGTTATAAACTGAAGGATTACATCCCATAACAAAGCGGAAGCAAAACTTTTACAAATCAGGAGGGCTTCCTAAAATATTGCATCGTAAATGTATAAAAGGCGTAGTGTTTAGCTCAACTCGGACCATGATCCCTCGCAACTGGTCTTTTCTAGAATTGAATTGATGTTGTTGTTTGATACGTGTATCTACATAGTATTTACCTACTTCAGTGTATTACTATCATTTTCATTTCATATACAACATGTGTACTCACTGAGCACGTGGTTTACCTCACACCCCTATAGATTCTCTTTTCAGGTACTATAGAGGGAATTACAAATCAGTCCATTGTTCAGTCGATTGAGTACTGTCTAGTGAAATTGAGTTCATTCTAGACTGGTCCAGTGAAGTTAATGTGATATTAATAGGTTGTATATTAGATTGACTGAAAGGTTATTATAGCAAGTTAATAGTATATATATTTGTAAACAGACTCAACAAGCATATTTTGTGATGTATGCTATGTGGGTAAGGGATTTTGTATATGTTTATAATTGGAAAACAAGCAAGTGGTACAGGTGTTATATATGGCACAGGTTATGAGACAAGTTTTATCATCATGCTTAATGTCTAATGTGATGGGTGGTGTTGTTACACCTGTGGGATTATTTAATGTATTATTAATGCAAATTATATATATGTAAACAGGTGTATCATAAACCTAGCCGTGTCTCATTTTTGAGAGACTACGATTGAGTGTGACACAAAAAATAATTCAAAAACTTAATTCACACAACAATTATTGTTTGGATGTTATATATAAGGTAAATTGCACTAATGGTCCATGAGGTTTGCCACTTGTTGCACTTTCATCACTAAACTTCTAATTTCGTCAATTTCGTCCTCAATGTTCACACATTGACTCACTTTAGTCTTTACCCCTAACTTCTGTCCAAAAAACTAACGAAAAATGTCATGTGTCAAGCACTTGAGGGTATTAAGGGACATTTTGGTCATTATACTCTTAAAACATTGGCATACATGTAAAAATAAAATAGTCTTACACAGAAAAAAAAATATTGCCCTTTCTCTCTCCAATACCATCTCTCTCTTCAACCAACGACCACCCATCTCTCTCTCTGCCCAAGACTCCATTGTTGGAATCGAGCGCCACCATCCACCACCGCTGGAATCGAGCGCCACTGCTAAAATTCATCTCCTCTCTCTCTCTCTTCTCTTCTCTCTCTTTGCCCTCTTAAATTCTTAGCACCTCACACACAAATACAGTACACATCCTATCCAAAACAACCATTACAAAACCCATACCGCCTAAGACCACCTCCATTAACCCACCTGAGCAAGCTCCCCCCCCCCCACACTATTCATTATTCCACCCCTAAAAATCTCTTTGATTTTTATTTCATTTTTGGTTTTGATTTCAATTTTGAAATTTTTTATTCGTATTTGTTTTTAATTTGGATGGAAATTTGATTAGTTGACGGTGGATCAATGGCAGTATTATTGGTGTGTGTGATTGTGTTTTAGTGTGTAGAGAGAGAGAAAAAAAAATAGTTACTCGGTCTGGGTTTGGTGTGTTTGTGGAGATCTCTCTCCCTCTCGCAGAGCTCAAAGATAGTTGTTGAGTTTGTGCATTTGTGAGTATGACTATGTGTGTTGTGTAGTGAATGTGTATTTGTGATTTTGTGTAAAAGTTTCCAAGGGATAAATGTATTTAGTTTGGGGGGATGGAAATACAATATCGAGAGAGAGAGAGAGAGAAAGGGAGCTATGTTGGGTTTGGGGGTGGAGACGCAATAACTAGAGAGAGAGATGTCTCTGTGTGTGAGGACGAGAATGATTTCTTAGGGAGAGAGAAAAGAAAAAAAAGGAAGGAGAAGCAAGAAAGGAAAGATAAATAATTATAAAATACCAAAAATGTCCCTTAATACCCTCATATTCTTGGCACATGACATTTTCTGTTAGTTTTTTTTACGGAAGTTAGGGATAAGGACTAAAATTGGTCAATGTGTGAACATCGAGGACAAAATTGACAAAATTTAGGGATGAAAGTGCAACAAGTGACAAATCTCATGGACAATTGGTGAAATTTACCCTTATGTATATAATAAATTAACTTACAATTCAAATTTCAAAAGATAAACAAAATGATTTTTGCAATCCGCGATTGAGATCACTTTAAATTTTACTTTAAAATTAGTCTAACGACAAATATTAACACTCTAAATTTAATAGGAAAAATAGACCTCTAAAGGTGTGTTTAGACTTTGGAGTGACTTTCTAAAAGTACTTCTATAAATTATTTATCACAACTACTTAAAAAAAAAAATAGTGTTCGAAACCGCCTCACCACTACTTTTACCACTACCACCGCCACCACCACTGCTGCCACCACCGCCGCCACCACCACCACCACCACCACCAACCAGCTCATTACTACTACTTCACGCCATCACCACCAACCAGCTCATTACTACTACTTCACCTTCTTCCAACCCCACCCACCTACTGCCCCCTCTCTCCTCCCCCATTTGAGCTCGTCCATTCGTTGGGTGATCTCTTGCTCACCACCACTACTGTTGTCATCGCCATTGTCACCACCGTCTTCCCCACCACCACCACCACCACCACCATCATCGTCGTCGCCGCCACCTTCACCTCCACCTCCGCTGCCACCGCCACAGCCACCGTCGTCAACCCTACTGCCGCTATCGTCACCACCAGCCCCACCATCACCGCTGCCACCATCCCCACCGCCATCGCCACCCCCACAATCACTGCCATCACCTCCACCACCGCCATCGCCGCCGTCGTCATCACTGCCACCACCACCACCGCCACTGTCACCACTATCGCCGCCGCCACCACCGTTGCTACCCTCACCGCCACGACGGTCATTGCCACTCACCACAACTATCACCGTCTCCTACCACCACCATTGCCACCCACCTCTACTATAAATCGATGCTTAAATTCCTTTATCTCTTCTCTATGTTTGTGATTTGATTTTAGATATGAATACAAATATATTTATTGTTTACTATTTTTTATTACTCTGTGCCTTCAGACACAGGCAATAACTAGTTTATCTATATAATAAAGTAGCTTACAATTCAAATCCCGAAAGATAAACAAAATAATTTTTGCTATTTGCAGTTGATATCGCTTTAAATTTTACTTTAAAGTTAATCTAACGACTAATATTAACACTCTAAATTTAATAGAAAAAATAGGCCCCTAAGAGTATATTTGGAATGACTTTTTAAAAGTACTTTTAGAAATTATTTCTCATAAATACTTTAAAAAAAAATATAGTGTTTGAAACTGCCCCACCACTATCTGTACCACCACCACCGCTACCACTATCACCACTGCTGCCACCACCATCACCATTGCCACCACCACCGCCACGGTCATCGCAGCCCCCCACCACCACCACCATTGCCACCGCCACTGCCCTCACCTCTGTGACTATCGTTGCCACCACTGTCGCCGCCACCGCTGTCACCACCGTCGCCGCCACCACCACCACCACCTTTGCACCGTCACCACCACCATCGTTGTCGCCGCCATAGTCATTGCCACCCACCATAACCATCATTGTCTCCTACTACTACTATTGCTGCCCACCACCTCTCACCCCCACTACAAATCGATGCTTAAATTCTTTTATCTTTTTTCTATGTTTATGATTTGATTTGGAATATGAATACAAATATGTTTATTATTTATTATTTTTTATTACTCTGTGCCTTCAGACACAAGCAATAACTAGTATATATATGATGGTGTTAATTAAGTGGATTGAGCTAAATGTATAAATTACGCAAATCAGCCTGGATCTAAGTGTTACAAAGTTCTTGAGGATTGTGATAAGGTTCTTGAGGAGTTGGGATGACTTGCACAGTGAAAGTATAGTGGTTCCCCGAGCTCGAGAGCTTGACTAGTCCACTCTTAAATAGAGTCTTTTACTTATTGGATCTATATTAATGGCTGTTATAAATTACAAAGTGATTTTGATACAATCGTGGTCCTCCCTCCCTCGTTGGAGGCACTGTACAATATTTATAGTCCAACCCCTATCTTTAAGGGATTTGCAGCGAGATCCTTGCCCTTCATCTGCGGGATCTCCCTCGATTTTGGAAGAGGATCTTGGGTGGTTGAAAGTTTCGTGCCTTAATTATAGCATTTTGTTGTTTTGGGGACGCCTTCTGTTAGCCAGCTGTTTTCTTCTCATTTTCTTTACTATTTCCTTTGAATGGAGCTCGAGGTCTGGACCTTTGAGCCTGGGGTGCCTTATTTGACCTCCTTGTCTGACCTCACTTTCTAAGCTCGTACTTAGTTAGAATTCTTTCCATGTATCATCAGTTGCCCCCCAACCATTGGTCCGAGCAGACTTAGACAAGGGCTGAACTAAGGCTGACTTAAGGTAAACCTCCATCTGGCGGCTTCGATACGCATGCGAACAAGTTTTTGACGGTTATAGGTAATCATTTTCTCCCTCGTTTCTTGCGCACGTTCTCCACTTTGAAGTTCAACGTACCATTAGCTTTTCATGCCTCTGAATTGATGGGAAACAACTCTCATTTCACTTTTTGAATTCTCTCCCTAGGCTTTTCTTCTTCCTTGCATTCCCCGCTTCCCCAATCTATCGGCAATCTTAGGGTTCAGCTGAATATCGTCCTTCCTTGAATTGGTTTGCAAGGCTTGTTCTCTGTTTTTCGCTTTGGGTTTTGAT